GTCCTATCATGACGTCCAGTGATCGTCATCGGCACCCCGCACCGCGCTTCATTACGACTGTGAACTGCCTTGAGCGATTGGTGAATCACTTGTTCTTCGAGGAAGAGCTCTTTCTACTAGAAAACAGGAATGTTGGGATCTGGGGTGTAAAAGTGCCAAATTCTGCTTCAATTTTGTTTGTCTCATCTCAAAATATTATCTTCCAATTCCCCTCCTTTGCCTGTGGCAGTCGATTGTTGTCAAGATTCCTATGACTCATTTGGAAGATGCATTATACGTAAATAGATTGCGTAAGTATACATTGTTCTAGAATAGTATACCCGTTGACGACGTCACAAATTTGCATATTTTGCCATGGGGAGAACGCTCGATTACTCGTATAGATGAAGTATGCGGGAGGCTGGCTGGCTAGAGCTAATAATTGGCTAGAATTTCCTCGACTTCTGAAGGCGCTCCCCCTTCACGTGCCTTTATAGGCTTCGATATGTTTTGTTTCGGTGGCAGCCACAGTGGTGCTTTCCGCCTAATGATCAACACATGATGTTTGTCCAATTAAGCGGTTGCAAGGCAACACACCTCATTCCAAACCCCACGTCATTTGCTTTTACCCGCATGCCGAAGCATTGGAAGTCTCACTAGAGTGATGAGAATAAATTTGCACCGGTTTACGCATTGGGTCCCAAGTATTTGATGCCCACAGAAAGGTGTTTTGATGCTGCAGACCTGGTTTCGTTTTCTCATTAGCAATTTCACGGGCTTTGGTTATTCCCTTGAGCGGCATACCCGCTGAGCGCCGATCGAATCCGCTTTTCAAGGCAGCACCCGCGACTGCATAGGTGTGTGTCACTATGTACGAAAAGGGAAGTACTTGTGAGAGAAAAAAAACTGCTGACCTTTTCGAAATTCACAGTGCATGTTGATCACATGGCTGTGGTTGGCTTTCAAAGAAGTCTCATTGCTTCTGGTTCATCTCCTCACTGTATTTTATCGTACTAACGATAACGTTCAATGGCCTGGGCCCTTATCCTCGGAAGATTCCCGTAGGCGACAGAGCGCAAGCCCCGCCCCACGATTGCGCGCATGTGTCCTCTACATATTTCTTGGTGCCCTCTATACTTGATTGACGACATGGCCATAAAAACATACACTCCATTTTCAAGCGCAATAACTCGCACCCGTTCATTCGAAAGACCTGGCTGAGCTCCATATGCGAGAGAGCCACTTAAAAGTGCGTACTAGTGTGCATGAACGGTTTCTTGAAGAGCACCGGCCGTTTGGAGCGAGTGCAAAATGCGATCCGGTGCAACAGAATTTCAGAGAAATCAATATAGAGCAACCCACCCATAACTCACTAAGTTGACCAACATAAGCTGCACTCATCGCAGATAGAACCACGTACCTCCTATCAGTTTGAGTGGACGAGTTGACGCCTCCTAAAGTCCGACAGCTGACACGACCAGTCATTTTCAATACAGCTACAAAAATAGGCCTTACCAGGCTTCCACCAAGAGTCCTGGTAAACTTATAGGCACATAGTTGACAGGTTTGTAAATGGGTTTTCCAGAATTCGTAATTGCTCAATCAGCGGCCTATTAGCAAGAACTCTGCGGATAAGCAAGCAGGAGTCCAGTTACTGGGTGAGATGAGCCGAAAATGAGCGAAGTAGAAAGACCGAGCCAGTCCCCACATGAAAAAGGCTTGGTGGAAAGCTGGAGAATGCGCCATGAATCTGATAAAGGATTAGATTGAGCCGAAATTATCCGGCGTTTTTTACGGCTAACGGCTTTTTAACTTCTTGTGGACGAATTTCAGATTATTTGTGGCCATCCGGAAACCCGCAAAGAGCCGATTTAGTTGTACACCACATGCATATTTTTTGGTATAGAGCTCAAAGGGACCAAAAAAGGCCCGATGTGACATAGTGCACTCCATATTGCACATACATTAACGCAACATCAGTCATCTTTTTGCTCGCGTGTAAGATCCAAATTGGACCGAATATGCAGCAAATCTTATATGTCAGCATATGCGGCAAATTGCATGCTATCGAGCGACACCAAAGCCGTCGGAAATGGCTGGCAATTAATCGGCAAAGCCACTAGTCAAAAATACGACAGATATTTCCGCTCAACCTAACACCTATTAAAGTTTCCCGAATGTAAGGTTTTTACTCGAACAGAAGTTTCTCATTCACCCTTCCAAATCGTCTTGAAAGGTATTCATCTGCTCTACGAAACCATATGTTTTATTCCACCGTCATTATAGCTTAATTCATAAATGCACCATGAATGACCGGTAGTCGCAGCATGTAAAGTTCCATGCGTGCAGACTCAGTTTCCCAAAAGCTACAACTATTCGATGTTTCACAATTTTTGGACACCTTATGGACACCTGGGCGGAGCCAAGGGGACGCATGGAACAAAGTGCATGATCGCCGGTTGGATATCATCTTACGTGGGCACCCAGAAGCGCAACACATACGGCTGCGACTTGCTACTACGGGGCACAATATCTATGACAATTTTGTCAATCTAAAATATAGTTTGATTTGGCAGCAGTTGACTGATTTTTGTCAACCCGGCCCCCTATTTTGCTGGCCTGAAACTCTTCTTTTTCGCGAAAAGGAGTGCAGTATACATTTGCCGAACAGATTAGACCCTTTTAAATGGTGTAGGTGCTCTAGTGTAAATTTCTTAACCGAAAAACGTCATTATCCATCGGCCAATCTAATAAGTATAGCAGAGAGAGCATAAAGAATCACCATAAAGCTATAAAGATCGTTAGGTGGTTTCGGCCCCCTAATCTTAGCACGTAACAATCTTACGGTACGCTTTGCCGACAGCACTCTAAATTTATTCGAAATTTTTTCGGCCCCGGTTTCATTCAGTGAGTTCTCCAGAGGGCGCTCATCTCATCAAGAAGACATTCATCTGAATGAGCCACTCACAGCTTTTATGACTGAGCCTTGGGGAGGAGAAGGGACTCTGGGGGAGGCTGTGAGAATCGCGGTTTTTGAATGCCCTGTTTGATGATTGTCCCCCCCCCCCCCCTCAAGGCCATGAGCGCCAGAGTATTAGATGCGGTGCGTGCTCAGGAGCATGCTTCGCTCTCCAAACTAAATATCCGGTTGGTGGATTCCACGCATATCTCCCCGTCAGTGACCTAGGGATAAATCGGGCAATATTTTCGCGGCTCTACTTTTAGATCTTCTTTTCTTTGCAAGCCGTAGCTCAGGTGCGCCGGCCCATCGAATCCATCAACCGTACACTTCAACTTCCTTAGCGCACGTCAGCCAGCGAAAATGTTGAGGAATATCCCGTTGACATATTAGTCGCGAAAAGCCCAACTTGGCAGCAAGACTACTCTCTGTACCCTCCAAGTGCCATTGCGCCGCGGATTCCTTAAAATTAGTCCCACGCCTTCATCGAGTGACTTCGCCCGATTTTCAGATGCGGAAGTGCTGAGAAGTGTACTTCGATTCGTGACCTAAGTCTCCAATGGGTTGATCTGAGCCTAATTTCCCTGTCAACTGAGGCCTCGGATAAACTGGAATGGGCAATATTTTCACAGCTTTAAACTTGAATCTTCTTTTTCTTTGCAAGCCGTAGCTCAGGTGCGCCAGCCCATCGAATCCATCAACCGCACACTTCGACTTCCTTCCGTTCAGCAGTGAAATGTTGAAGAATAATTGCTTTCCGCTTGGACTTTGCCACACTCGGATAATTTTCTTTGGGTAAAAACGACCACCGTAAACAAGCTGTGAGCTATGGAATCCAACCATTGCGAAATGCGATGCAATGTTGTTAATTATGCTCCAGGACGTCACGAATTCAAAAAAAAAGTGCAGTAAATTCGAGGACATTCCAGTACTCCTGTGGTAACATTTACTTGCTTTGACTCGATTACGCGGCTTATCACCGCGCTATCACCTTATCAACATGTATTTCTAGTGGCCTGAATAGGCGTTAGGTCGAAATTAGCTTATAGCTCTGGCATTTATCCGATTTCCTTTGCCTTCCATTTCTTATTCTTCTACCTAAACCCACAACGCGTTTTCCTTACCTCATGTCTGACTCCTACCGTCACATTTACCCAAGTTCGATAGGTACTTTATAAAGTAGCTGTGGCGTTTTCGCGACGTACTCTGCCGGTTTCATTTCTTATTCCGAACTTTCTAGACACTTTTCTACTTGGCGAAGAATGAGAAATGAACACTCTAGTCGCTAAGTCATACTCTTCAAGCGGTTTGTCGTTCATCAATGAAGAATCGCTGTCTGAAGAGCGATGCCAATCGGCCGAGGACAGCCTCGACACATCGTCGTCCAGCCCTCACGGCGGGGCGGGGGAACACGACGGACTGTTCTCGCCACGTAAAAACTGCCTCAACGTCCAAGGAGTGGCTACCGTACATCGACCAGACCTCGCTCTGATTACCACCGACTATTCGGCGGTGGATGTGTCCGAGAACGAGGGATATTCGCGGAGATTCAACTCTTCTCCCATGGAATCATCCACTCCGAAGAGTATTCTGCGGCCGCATCGCTTGGTATCGACACCTAAACAGCTCTCGTTCGACATACCACCGTCGCCAGTCCCGTCACCGAAGTCGAGCTGCGTGTCCACGTCCGGATCCTATCATCTGTTCGAGAGGCCGGCGAGAGCTGTGCGGGTCCGTAAAGAGCCTGCGCGTTATCGTTTAGCAAATCTCCAACAACGATCAAATTCCGAGTCCCTGTTCGCAATTACACCACCCATCGATCAGAGCAGACGTCTAAGCGTTGCTCATTTACCCTACAAAGATCAGGCATTGCTCAGGAAAATTCTCGGACCTCAAGGTTTGAGTTGGATTGGCAGTGATAAAGGTGTGCTATAAAAAGGGGTCAGCGTTGAATATGGCCGTAAAGTGAATATTTCAGGATTCCATCGAAGAAATTCCTGTTCCAAATAGCGTTTCCAACGATTAGCAGCGCAGAAAGTATGATGATTCCGAAATTCCACTTATGGAAAGCAAAGAGGAAATGATCAGGTGGGCCCTAGTTTTCAGCGAGTGTTCACTCGTTATTATTACTATTACTATGTCCCATACTATTTATATTTTTCTGCCATGTTACCTTTATTATTTAACTGAGACGCATCGCAAGATGCGTGCGGGCGTTGTGTCCAGAGCAGTTAAAACCGCGTAAAACTTCATGCTAAAAACCTGATTAAGCCTTAGGCGGGTGAGAGGCTAGGGAATGCGTAAGCAACTTTCATTTCCCCATACTCCCTTCCTACTTCTGGGCTCAGTTCAGGGGATGCCCCCATAGCAATTTCTTGCGATAGCAGCAAGAAATTAAGGTAGCAGACAGATGAATTCTGCGACTTACTTTTTGTTAGCGCCATGCGCAAAGAAACAGCAAATCAACCGATGAACCATTTCTCATTCTTCTCAACGGGGAGGCGGTCATATGGCTCGATACCGCCGGCATAAGAGCGCACAAGCTGCAATTGCCTCATCCTGCTGCGACCGGACAACTCGTCCGTATCACTCGACAAGACTTTGATCTGATGAGTAGGGTCTCAAAAATCTCGCCGATTCCCGAAAATCTGAAAAAAGGACTGATAACTTGCTGGCCTGATACCAAGCAAGAGGAATGGAACAGAATGTGTTGCGCAGGCGAGTTTTCCGATCACACCAGGATGTGGTAATCACAACCTGTTGTGGACTTCCCAATGGCCAGTTTGGGCTCACGGAATATGCCGCACACCCTTCTCAATGTTTCTGCTCAACACACTGGCAGTTTTCGAGCCTTTGCTGAAGATTCCAAGTTAACTCCTCAATCCAGAATGCGTGTGATTCTGTAGAGGTCTCCACGCTGATACTAATACTTAATTTCGGAATTTAATTAATACTGTGATTCTATGATTTTCCTTTAAGAAGTGACCTAATTAATCGTTGATGATCTTTCAGTGGTGGGCGACTAATAAAACGAGAAATTCTACATGAGAAACGGCGGCATATGAGTGATCGAGCGCTGTTTTTCGCCATCGTTGGAATAGGTTTGTTCGTTGTATCTTTGAAAAAAGTGGAGATAGAAGGAAAAACCCCTATTCTTAGAAAGTTTCCTATATTTTAGTGTTGATGATCACTGAGAACGAGCTGAACGCGGCCGGTATCGTTGCAACGGTACGTTGTAGTTTCCACCACCACAAAACTATCCGTCAGAGCTACGGCATACTCATTTTTGTTCCGATTCTGATTTTGTCATTTTAGGGTTCTTTATCGAGTTTATGTCTTAAATCGCTGATAATCGGGTCCACAATCGTTCTTCTTGTTTTCGTTGCCTACTTTCACATTATAGAAGTACAGGTGAGTGCAGAAATTCCTAGTTTAATGTCTTAGGATCTTCCTGATTGAATTAATCAGCTTTCAACGACGCCTAAGCTTCATTCTTATGTACCATTTAGCTGTTCATGAACGCAAACGCGGCCGACGATTGGCGAGTGGCGTTGACCCTGCGAAGGATGTTCCAGATCGGTACGTGGTCAATGGCTGGAATCTGAGTTTTTTGACGCTATCGCAATATACTGGGGCATCCTCTAGGACTAAGCCTAGGAGGGGCAAGAGATTCGGGGAAATACAAATGGCTCACTGACCTTGGAGTCTCTCTCCCTAGCCTAATATTCCGTCCCGCTTCAAACAAGATGACATTTTTTACGCGGTTTTAAATGCATTGGCACCACGCCCCGTATATTGCTATAGCGCCGATTTTTGCAGTTAATTGTAGATATTTCCTCTACAACTGAATAACAGGATGCTGGAGCAGAGTGAATCGTGGCTTTTGGCCGGTTTAAAATTCTCACGTCCACCCAACCCCTGTTTGAGAGATCTTGTTACCACCCACCGCCTCACATGACTAGGTAGTCACCAACGCCTAAGAAAACCTATGGTCATCGACCGGGGTGGAGGGGGAGGGGCAATTATGTTTAAAATGACAGCAGATGCTCTAATTTTGCCTACCTCATGATTATTTTCGGAGTTTTTAGCCAAAGGTTGCCGAAAACCCGTCAAAAACGACCTCCTCTCTTGCCGCTGCTTTCGTATTCTTCTACGCATTGACTCCGCGCAATCGCAGGGGCTGCAGACAGCCACCACCCCTTTAGTGTTCCAGAATATGACCTCGCTCCACCGTTTGACCTTCTTCAACCACAGTATTGCGAACGCTTCCTAAGAATCATCAACCCCCCTGCCTGTATGCCGCGCGGACGATTTACCCTGCTGGGTCAG